TATGGTCAGATGAAACCAAAATAGAAATTTTTGGTAAAACCTCAACTAGACGTGTTTGGAGGAGAAAGAATGATGAGTTGCATCCAAAGAACACCATACCTACTGTGAAACATGGGGGTGGAAACATCATGCTTTGGGGCTGTTTTTCTGCAAAAGGACCAGGACGACTGATCCGTGTAAAGGAAAGAATGAATGGGGCCATGTATCGTGAGATTTTGAGTGACAACCTCCTTCCATCAGCAAGGGCATTGAAGATGAAACGTGGCTGGGTCTTTTCAGCATGACAATGACCCCAAACACACCGCCCGGGCAACGAAGGAGTGGCTTCGTAAGAAGCATTTCAAGGTCCTGGAGTGGCCTAGCCAGTCTCCAGATCTCAACCCCATAGAAAATCTTTGGAGGGAGTTGAAAGTCTGTGTTGCCCAGCGACAGCCCCAAAACACCACTGCTCTAGAGGAGATCTGCATGGAGGAAGGGGCCAAAATACCAGCAACAGTGTGTAAAACCTTGTGAAGACTTACAGAAAACGTTTGACCTCTGCCAACAAAGGGTATATAACAAAGTATTGAGATGAACTTTTGTTATTGACCAAATACTTATTTTCCACCATAATTTGCAAATAAAGTTTTAAAAAATCACACAATGTGATTTTCTGGATTTTTTTTTCTCATTTTGTCTCTCATAGTTGAGGTATACCTAGGATGAAAATTACAGGCCTCTCATCTTTTTAAGTGGGAGAACTTGCACAATTCGTGGCTGACTAAATACTTTTTTGCCCCACTGTATATTGTGGTGTCAGGAGTGCTCTCCTAATGTCCAGACGGTTTGAAAGACAGACAGGGCATCAAAGAAAGAGCTAAGAGGTCACCAGACAGAAACACAAAGAGGCCGACAAGGACGAGAGAGAGATAGAGAGGTGATAACAGGGTCAGGTCACCAGAGATAGTAGTGTGTGTGTGTGTGTGTGTGTGTGTGTGTGTGTGTGTGTGTGTGTGTGTGTGTGTGTGTGTGTGTGTGTGTGTGTGTGTGTGTGTGTGTGTGTGTGTGTGTGTGTGTGTGTGTGTGTGTGTGTGCATATGGCTTGCGTGCGTGTGCGTCTTTGTGGACCATTGTTCAAATCAATGTTATACTGCAATGTTATGACTTAGCCCTGGGCGATAGGCATCTTTCACCCTGATATAGGTCATCTCACAAAAACTAAATTGTGATCTTGAATTGATATTACCTCAAAACATATTGCAATACACTTTCTGAGAAACTTGAGTTTGTATGTAATATTATGAATGAAGTCAATGTAATTGTGCATCCTGATATATCGCGACAAAGACGTCAGTGGCATCTGTGTGATTCTGTGAAGCTAAGTGTGGGTGTCACAGCGGGGTCTCACCCTCGGGCAGGGGCAGCAGGGTGATGGCGGTGCTCAGACGTCCGCTGCCCAGGCTCACCAGGTGGGGGCGCTCTGCCTGGAACTTCAGACCCTTCCCCGTCTCAAGGAAATCCAGAGGAGTGCTCTGGAGAGGAGAAAAAAGGTCACAAATACAGTGAAAATTATTATTGCCTTTATTTTTGGTTTTAATGTACAGTTCAGCATGATCATTGGACGCTTCTTTCCTTTTTTGAGTTGAGCTCACAATAAACAACAGAACAGAAGCAGATTTTACATTGATATTAGAAAATAGATATATACAGTATAATCTATATACATGACTGTTCATCTTACAAATAGAAATGCATGTTTACTCATAACATTTTACAAATGCAGCTATGCACTTACTGTACATAAACCATGCATACATCAGAATACCTGTATATACGATACATGCAACAAGATATAACGCAAACATACTAAAAAGTGAGAATAAAAAGACAAAAGTAAAACAAACAAACAAACAACCCCATAGACCTCAGCTATCCATCTTTTCATCCATTCAATTTCTTTTGCCAAGATAAAAAAATGAAATATGCAGTATACCTGTAAAATACGGTGTGATTTTGGGGGTTCTTAAAGAGGGTCGTTATAATATTACATTATTTTCATTTCATTTATGTGTCTTAAATAAAGGCCATACTGTAATTAAAAAAGTTATCTTTGGAAATGTGACTTTATTTGCACTTTTTCCAATGCAATCTGTACTGATTAAAAAACGTCTTTATGATATGATACGCAACTTAATCCTGATGACATTTAATACGTTGTTATCCAAAACTGGACATTACGACATACTGCATGTAATCTACATCTCTATTTCCCCACAACTGAACACCATGGACCTGACCAGTAGTGTTTCCTCTCCGTTAGCTGAATTAATGAGTTGTGAATGACACAAACTTTGTGAATATTTGGCACTGAGGAGATACTCCTTCACACGCTGCAGCTTTCCTGCCTCACTTATGTTTTTCGCTATAGGATGTCCTTTCCATAGACCGTTAACATATCTTACTACACACTGAGAGGAAGTGTGTCTATGTGTGTGTCGTGTCGTCTACCCCTTAAAGCCTAAAGCGCCGCTGTGTGCTCTCGGCACAGCAAGGGGGAAGGGACGTCGCCATAGCAACAGCAGTCTGCAATTAAGAAACATGGAGCTCCTGGAGGGCGCTCGACGAGATAAACTTGTGAAGAGCAGTTTTCACCGCAGCGACGCCTCAACATAAAGACTATTCTGCTTTTTAGACATCTGCTTAGTGTTAAATGACTCTTTCTCTTTGCCTCCCAGGGTTTAAAATAATACATTATATCTCCTGTTGTGTAACATCAGTTATTCCAAAGATAGAACATGAAATATACACCAGGACTTCCTTTGGAATGATTATCCCTTTAGCGCTTGTCGATTTTTTTTTTTATTGAGTGATTTATTTTAGTTTATTAGCTTTACCTTATAAGTACAATGAAAAGGTCACAGAAGGTACAAGATTAAAAACTCTACTAAAAAATGCCCTATGTTATGGAATCTCTATTTCTTGCATTTCTTAGGATATATCAAAGGTTTCCAGATTCCCACAGGATCATATTTGTCTTTTGTGCCTCTACTCCATGTCTCCATGCTTTAATGTTCAAAAAGCTCTTTATTTTTCTCATACTGCCTGTGCTGCAGCACCTCTTTTCACCCTCTGTCTTAAACCAGAGCCCAGTCTGCTCTGATTGGTTAGCTGGCTGGCTCTATTTTGACAGCTAAGAGATGTCCCGCCCCTAATCTCGTAAAATGTGTTGGAGTATTAGCCAATAGAAGTGGGTGTGTTACATAGTGATGTCACTATTTTACTAAAGTAAACAAAGGAGTCCAATGGAGGCGTTTCAGGCAGCGGGTGGGATTGTGTGGTCCAATACAGGAAAGGGTCACCCAAAAAAGGTGGAAAAGGGCCTCGTTAATACTTGGATCTATTAGCTATATTCCTTCTTTCTTCAAATTAAACCCTCTAACTCTTAAACCAATCCGTCACACATGTGTTTTAAGATCACACATTGGACATAATGATTTGTTGTGTTACTTAAAGTGGACCTATCGTGCTATATTTGAATAATATAGTGTATATAACCTAACCTATATAAGGCATATTATGGAGTCAGATTTGGGTCAATATTCTAGCGCGCAAAACAAGCTAATCACGAGCGGAAAATGTGCTTTTACACGTGCATTAAATGACCCTCGCGCACAGATTAAACCCCCGCGAGCAGAGACAGCCCTCTTGCTCGCTCGCGGGAGTGTCAGCCTCACTCGCTCACGGAGTCTGTCTGCGCGCGCGTGAAAAGTTTCTGACACTTTGGGGCGGAGCCACTGGACTTTGATTGACAGCTGCCAGGAAACCTGGAGTTGCCAGGTTTGATAAATGCCTGAACTACCAAGAGCCGAGGAGTGACAGCAGCAATATCAGTTGGACGAGATTGAATGGTAAAGATGCCCATAAAAAAACATTATATTTGTAAAGTGTACAGCTAATATATATATATATATATATATATATATATATATAAATTAATTTTATATAAAACAATATATTTTTGAGTGGGCTGTATCTGTCGAAAACTGTCTGCTGTATGCACCTCCCTTACGAAATGAACTATAAATGAACTATAGTATTACTATAGTATACTGTAAGAGTTGTATAGTGTCCTATAGTCAGTTTGTAGTGTTCTGTAGTATTTTTCACCTGCTATCGTATACGTATAGTTTTTTTCCTGTCAGCTGACCATGTTTATTAGCTGATAGTAGCCCTATAATATTTCAATAGTAATACTATGTATCTAGGATCTTTGTAGTATTCCTATATATATTTTAAATAGTATAACTATAGTATAATATATAGTGTTTCTGTAGTTTTTTTTTGAACACACTATAGAACACTCCCATAGTAATAGTATGATATTGTCATAATGAATGAATATTATTACTATAGTGTTTGTAAAAGCATTACACTCCTAGAATTAATGTGTCCATTTTTTTATATCAAATTAATTGAATTATATATATATATAGCTGTACACTTTAAGAATATAATGTTTTTTTATGCATAACTTTACCATTCAATCTCGTCCAAACTGATATTGCTGCTGTCACTCCTCGGCTCTTGGTAGTTCAGGCATTTATCAAACCTGGCAACTCTGGGCTTCCTGGCAGCTGTTAATCAAAGTCCAGTGGCTCCCGCCCCAAAGTGTCAGAAACTTTTCACCGGCGCGCGCAGACAGACTCCGCGAGCGAGTGAGTGAGGCTGACACTCCCGCCAGCGAGCAAGAGGGCTGTCTCTGCTCGCGAAGGTTTAATCTGCGCGCGAGGGTCATTTCATGCACGTGTAAAAGCACATTTTCCGCTCGTGAGTAGCTTGTTTTGCGCGCTAGAATATTGACCCAAATCTGACTCCATACATATTGTTAGAAATTAAAATCAATGTTTTAATGGGGAAATGTAGTTTAAACATGCCGTCAGTTTTAACGCTCTTTTATACTGAAAAACCAGAAATTCTTGTCCACAAGCAGTTAAACTTTTATTCTGAAAATCCTTCATCTACGCATGTGACAACATCCGGAAACCAAACGAGCCGAGAAGTATTTTTTAGAGTATTGATTACAGCGTTTAGAATGTGTTACATGAAAAGTGATGAAAGAGAATATGAGGAGAGAAGGCGTGTTAAGCATATATTGAATGTGAAAAGAACCAATCCTCTGTTTAAATGCAACAACGGACATTGGAGACGAGGCGAGCCGGCTGGCGGGGAGGAGCCAGCAGAGGATATATAACAGCACCGGAGGAGAGATCCGGGGCTTCTCTTTCCTAACGAGGAGCGGATCACAGCTGTTTGTCTGACTGAACAATATCATGCTTGTGACCAACCCGCGCCTTTTTTAATTAAAGTACCCAATTGAACTTTCACAGAGACTCCATTTAGTCTCCTTTTAAAGCTTCTCTCCTGGACGGGAGAATAACGAACACAGTTTACAATATTTATACTTTTTATTTTTCAAAATACCAAACAGATCATGCATTTTAGCCATTCCTCATTTCGCTCAATTTAACACTGTCTTTTCATGGGCTGATTCTGTGAGAACAGCACCATCTACAGGCCTGGCATATGTTCTACAGCGTCTCCAGCGCTTTCGAACGGCAATGTCCGTGGCTGTCTCCTCCTGATTGGTGGAGTTGGCCCAATAGCCGTAGCGCCACTTCTGTGACGTCATAGAAGTGTTCAAATCTGGATCAGTCTGTATCAGATCCGTTGCAGCACCTTTTTAAGAGATTTGGGTATGGAGGAAAATAGAGAGGGTTGTGTTTTCTGACACTTGGTGAGTTCCCTGGAACACCGGGGACACATATTCATGTATAAAAGACGTACAAAAGTGCATTTTGCATGATAGGTCACCTTTAAGTATTGCTTTATGTAGTGTTTTATCCAAATCATATCGTAATAACATTATATTTCAATACAAATACTGTACATAAAAATGTAGGAGCATCCGACTCACAGGAACCCCCAAGGTGGACACATTTTGTTTCAGAATTTAACAGATGATTTAGCATCCTTTATAATTCAACATGACTAGAATTTGACATGCTGTGTGAAACAGTGACTGCTGATCATTTAGCATTCACTGCTAAGGTCAGCTCTGTGCCAGGTGAAGTGTTAAATGAACTCTGATGGGCGCCGTGGATTTACATTTGAAAACCTGCTGCGCCAGCGTTTTTTTATCCCATTTTGGAGCCCTTTCGCATTTCTTATTTACAACCTGTACGCGAACATTGACTCGGCTCTCGGCTGGCAAGCTAGCTGTGTGTGCTAATAGGATTATGTGATTGTGCTGTTGCCGTCTGTGAAGTGGGGTCAAGCCTAAGAGGATTGCTGAGATAGAGACTGGGAGGCAGTAGGGGGGCTTTACTGGGAGTGATGGCAGCAGGGGGGCGGGGCAAGATAGCCAACACTGCAGGACTCCTTCAACTTCATTGTCTGTGTGCTGCTGCTCCCATGTGGAGCACACTGCAACGACCTGATACATTCAGAGCATCATAGTGTAATGAGTGCATGCAACGTCAATTCTTCTTAGATCATATTGTATTTGATTAAGTGTTTATCATCAACAGTTTTTTCCCACTAGATAACATAATCTGTGTTATTGTCAGTTTTTACTTTATTTTACATTTTCTAACATTAACTTACAAGTCAATCCCATGCACCTTTACTAGACTGATTGTATATGTGTTTTTTGTTCAGTAATGTTTTGAAGGAACTTGATAAATGATTTGCTATTCTCAAGTTTCATTGCTGCTTATCTGCCAATTGCACAATTTCCACATTACTATCTATTATTGCTTATTTTGCATCACTTATGTTGTCATGCCTTATTTATTCTTAAAGTGTATATTCTGCGTAAAGTTTTAAAAACAATATATTTGAGTCTGGAACAGCTAATATGCAAATAAAGGAACTAACTAATAATAATAATAATAATAATAATAATAATAATAACTGTATTTGTATAGCACTGTTCATGCACGTATATTAATAATAAAGTTATTGGATCTTGAATCTGTGTGGCTTGAGTATTTTCAATACAAATTGGAAGAAACATAGTCCTTGCCAAAAAGACTCGTCTCTAGTCGCTAAAGTCCTAAGTGTTAAAGACAGGACAAATAATACCTTTGTCAGACCCCTGCCTTCAGAATTGCCTTAATTCTTCGTGGCATAGACTCAACAAGGTGCTGGAAACATTCCTCAGAGACTTTAGTCCATATTGACATGATAGCGTCACGCAGTTGCTGCAGATTTGTCGGCTGCACGTCAATCTCTGGTTACACCACATCCCAAAGGTGTTCTATTGAATGTATATCTGGTGACTGTGGAGGCCATTTGAGTATAGTGAACTCATTGTCATGTTCAAGAAACCAGTTGGAGATGATTTGATATCATTGCCTTTCTATCATCTTGGACCAGTCTGGCCATTCTCTTCTGACCTCTGGCCACAACAAGGCATTTTGGCCCAGAGGACTGGCACTGACTAGATATTTTCCCATTGTTTTCACGAGCAGTTGAACAGGTGTACCTAATGATATGGCCGGTGAGTGTATTTGATTTTTTTTAAGGAAATGGCACTTTTGGAGTGGTGCAGGAAGGAGTCGTTAAACCCGTAAAATACTTAGCATATCACCACTTCCAATTCCCTAGTGTCAAAGTCAAATCTTTTTGAACGTCTGATTTAATCCATGAAATAAGGTTTGTGGTTAACACAAGCTTAAATAAACTACTAAATGTCATCACACATACAAAACTCTGCCTTTAGCTTAGCATTGTGTGATGTTTAAAGTTTGTTTATAGCCTAACGATAGCTTTTACATATACCAATGCATCCGATCGGAACATTCTTACAACGTGTTGTTAATATGTGGAGATTATCCTGCTGAACAAAAAATTATAAGTATCATCATGTGGGTTTGCCACAGAGTTTACTTTTGGCTGTATACCGAAATCACTGCATCATTCTATAGTGCCTGAATACGATTTTAGACACGAAAACAATTCCAGATTCTCACAGTTTCTTTAGAGAAAACATAACATTTAATAGGGTTTTATCTTCCATTTTGTATTCCTTATAACTACGATACATATAGAAGTAGTTACTGAACATACACACACACACACACACACACACACACACACACACACACACACACACACACACACACACACACACACACACAGATACCACATCATTTTTTCTTTGTACTGTCTTTTCTGATTTTATGTAAAGCGTCTCTGAGCATTAGGAAAAGCGCTGTAAAAATCCAATGTATTGTTAGTATAATCATTTTGTTGAGAATTACCCTAGCCCAAAAATAGACAGAAATGGGTTTATTCCAAAATGTTCACACAATTGTAACTAAGGACACACACACACACACACACACACACACACACACACACACACACACACACACACACACACACACACACACACACACACACACACACACACCTGCCCTTAACATCTAATGTGATTGACCCAGCAGGTGGGAAACACAGACATCCAATCTCCGGTTCTGTCTAATTACTGACTCTGCTTGAAGATTCCTGCTTTACACATCCTGACATATGCTGTCAGGACGCGTCCCACCCAGCTGTAGCACCTGACCTGACCTGCTGTAAATGTAAATGCACATACAGTAAGAGTATATTGCACAGTGGAAGCGGAAGTTTGAACTATCACACAACATAAATACTCCAATAAAGTACAAGTAAAGTAAATGTGTTTACTTTCCACCATGACAGATAACATATGACTCACTCTTTCCTGTCATGTCCTCTCCCATCACCCTTATCCCCAAAACACACTCACCTTTAGCACCTGGTGTGTTTTCCTTCCAAACTCGGGCATGTTGCTGTTCAGCCGGTCCATGTCCACTGAGCTGTCCCCGGCTCCCTGCGACACATGCATGTCCTGAGGGAGGAAATTAGAACATTCATCAGACACACTATGAGTAACCAAAAGTGTCCACGGGTGACTTCATCTCTGCAGGACAACAACGGTTAGTAACTATCAAAATCCTGCTTAATGGGATTCCCCCTCCCCACTCTGCCTTAATGTGTCAAGGTGTGATTCATGCTGTCAGCGCACTCACGCACACAACAGATGGTAGACAGCATTTAGCAACGCGCTCAGAGGAAGTAAAACACGCACACACATTTAAATCTCTTGGCAGTTGACACATTAGCTGGAAATCAGCCACCTTGGCTGTTCTCTTGTCTCTCAGTCACTATGAAATACACACTGTGCCTAAATTCCTCCCTTCTTACTCAGTAGTTTTGGGCCATTTCCATCAAGTCAGCACAGAGCAAACAGCTATAAATATATTCCATGTCCGTACACGTGTTAAGTGGCCAGATTCGGTATAAGAAGCACAGATAAACACATGGAGAGGTTAGAAAACACATTCACAGTGTATCAGAGCATACACCCGGAGTCATTTGCATCCTTAAAATGTTTTGCAGCCAGGATGGAAAATATGTTTCTGATGTGCTCTGCCCTCAGTATAACAACACACTGCTGCAATATCATCTTATTTGCTCTTCTGACATTCCCATGGAAGGATATTCAGCAACGGAGTCAGCCTCAGGAAGCAGTTAATCACAAGAAATAAAAACAAATGTTGGGAAAATGTCTATCTGGAAACACTTTTGTGCAAAACTATTTTCTGAACCAGAGGGAACTAACGCAAAAATGCTTCCCAGCTCATGTTTAAAGCAATATTTCAACCAAATGTCTCAACCTGTTAACCTGTCTTTTGCTGTATCTTAATATAATAATTACCTGTCTGCAGTTGTCCAGCACTCGCAGAGCCTCCATTGCAAAGAGCTGCTCCTGGCTACTGACTCAATCCTATCAGTGTGGACTCGATTAACATGGACACCTCTAAGACTGAATGACAATTTCTTCAATGCTGCTTCTTCTTGCCATGAAACACAGATTGTCTCTTTGTCTTGATCTCAGCTCTTTGTCTATAAGCAACCGGTGCAGTGTCCTCCACAAGCTCCCATTCAGGAGGAGGACCTGTTGCTGCTTGCTCCACTAAACTAAGACCTACATTCCTGACAGGCAGCACCAAAATCCCCGATAACAGAGACATGTGTGTGTGTGCGCGTGTGTGTGTTTAAGCAATGATCAAAAGAGACGACGAAGAAGACGAAAAAGGAAAGAGGAAAGGAGGAAGAGAGAGTGATGACTGAAGGGATTTGATACATAAAGCTCAGAAATAGAAGTGTAGAATAGTGAACTTGTTGTAGGAGGAATCAGGGGCCCAGTCCAGTTAAAGTGTTTTTCTCCATCAGCGTTTTAGATAACTTGTAAGTGATTCTTTCTACATCCATGGGTACAACTTCAGATCAAAATGAACACATAATGAAATATGACCCCCGGTTTGATGATTGACAGGTCACAGAACAATGGGAGATATCTACCTTTACCCACAATCTCCTCTTTACTCTTCTCTCTGTGTGGAGCAGCAAGTTCAGCTGACAGAACTAAGTGAAAAACAAACAATGGCATAAAATATTATTAATATGTCCGGTACTAATAGATTTATATATTTTCTTCTCAGAGTGTACCAGAATGCGTAGTTATAAGTTAGTATTTCTAAAAATCTCCTGGGGGAGAATCCCCCCAGACCCCCCTTCTGGGGTTGGGTTTTCAGACATGTCATGTTTTTCATGTGTGGTGAATTTGCAGGATTGGCTCCAAGTCTGCCTTTTTATTGAGTACAATACAAGTGTGCCTTTTTATGTTATACAGTTCAGCTTTGATTCTAGAAACTTGATGACCATCATCTCATTAAACCTTTTTTAAAAGCATACTTTAGTTCTGGGATATAACAAGGGATATATGCACTGTACTTCACTTTAATTAATATTGTATGCTGAAAAGCACGATTTTTTGTTGAATAGATTTCAGTGGTTCAAAATTTCGGGTCTCGATTTATTGACCAAGGAAAAAAGTGGGTCCCGAGGCCTGACCAGTTGAGAACCACTACACTATAGGTTGTTAAAGTAATACTCACTAGGTACCTTTGGTATAATAACTCATGTAATGTAGGAAATACTCACTTTTGTTACTTTAGGGAATGTTCAATAAAGCTGCTGTAGATAATACTCACTTTGGTAACCTTTGGTAGAGACACTTTAGGTATTACTCCTTAAAGGTACTTTTGGTAATAAAAAACTATAGGTAACTTATACTCACTTTAGGTAATTAAGGTAATAAATACTACTAGGTACTTTAGATAATACTCACTATAGGCACGTTATAGTCACTTTAAGTTGTACTCCCAATATTTACTTTTGGTAGAACATATACATAGGTACTTTAGATAGTACTGACTATAGTTATTTAGGTGATACCCACTATAGGTGTTTAAGGTAACACTTGCTATAGGTACTTGAGGCAATATTCGCTATAGGTACTTTAGGTTATACTCAGTTTAGGTAATACTCACTTTAGGTATTTTTCATTAATATACACTATAGGTACTTTTACTAAGGTACTTTGGGTAATACTAACTATAGGTTCTTTAGGTAATACTCACTTTAGGTATTTTTCGTTAATATACACTATAGGTACTATTGCTAAGGTGCTTTGTGTAATACTAACTATAGGTTCCTCAGGTAATATTCAGTGTAGTTTCTGACTTAGTTCTCAATTTAACTTCTAAAACATTCTAGGTACTTGAGGTCAGTGGCGGTTCTACGGGGTGGCACAGGGTGGCAGCTGCCACCTCAGAAAAATGCCTTGCTACCCCAGCTGCCACCCCAGTTGGCAGCTTTGTTTTGAAAGAAAAGTTGTGGCTCATCGGATATTTATGAGAGAAAAGCTCTAATGTCCGAGTGCAAGTGAATGCAGCACAAGACGCGAGCCTTGTAACCCCTCCCCCGCCCTGGCTCGAGCTTGGAAATATGATTGGCGGCTATTTCATTTGAACGGGGGGACAGCGAAAAACGAGAGGCATTTTGGATCCAAGTAGACGGAAGGAATGAGGTATTTGCGGTCTACAGTGACAGAGAAGATCAGGTTTGGCTGCAAGGCAAGTTTATTTATATAGCACTTTTCTGTACGCGACAATTCAAAGTGCTTTACAAAACAAATTAAAAGACTTGTTAGGAATACATACAGTAAAAACACATATATAATGGCATTTTACGACAGACATTACAAAACAAAGATAATTAAATAATTAAAATAAACACCACAGGTATTGAAGTATTATTTGAGTTATTTGAAGTATTAAAGTAACGTGTTATGGCAGGAAAGTTCAATCTGGTATATTCATTCTAATGTCACCTTATATA